CTATCTATCTATCTATCTATCTATCTATCTATCTATCTATCTATCTATCTATCTATCTATCTATCTATCTATCTATCTATCTATCTATCTATCTATCTATCTATCTATCTATCTATCTATCAATCAAATACACAATAATTCTCGTTATCTTTCTAACATGATATAGGTTATAGAGGACTTTAAATGTGTGTTTGAATTGGCTTTTTCGCCGATGCATGTCAACATTTTATGCTCTGCACATATAAACTCTTAGTGTACAAATTATGCTTTATTTTGTACATTTTTTTTACTAACTTTACCCAAAATTCTGAGAGTCGATTTTACTCCACAAATGTAACTTTACGTTTTCCTGCTCAACGTTTCTCTGCCCATTCGTCTAACTTTCTTCCTTAGCTGTGTTCAACGCGAAAGTTTTTTTTTAAATGTGTCTTTAAATTTATTTTTTTTTTAAGATGAGGAAGATCCCAAAGAGAAGGAGGAGGAGGAGAAGGTTGACACCGCTTCTACGGACTTCAACGAGATGGTCAGCTACACCAAAAACAACGGCCTGGTCCTATTCCGCCAACAGCTGTCGGCAATCATGACCAAGAAGCTGATACTCTTCAAGCGGAGCTGGATCACGTCCCTGATTCTTCTCGTGGTGCCTGGCGTGGCCGTGGGTTTCTTCGCTTACCTCGATTACAAATCGTCCCAGGAGATTCAACGGGACACCATGCACTTCACGTTGCAGGGCTTCCCCGCGATGATCACCCTGGTGTCCGTGGAGCCGACGGCGCCGGACGAACTGATCGGGGCGTACACGCGTCAATTCCCGGCCCCCCACCAGATTCAGGTCATGCCCTTTTTGCAGGTAGGTCGGGCTCCCAGGGTTTCGTTAGGGGGGGGGGGTATGTCTAAACAAAAGAGTTACGCCTTTAATCTTGTATTTACGCTGTCAACATTGCCTTATAAATAACACTGTCCTTTTAAGAAAAACATTGCCCTATAAATGACATTGTCATGTAAATAACACTTCCATATAGATAACATTGGCATAAATATGACATTGCCATATAGATGACATTGCTAAAGATGGCACAGCCATTTAAATAAATTTGTAAAATTAAGTACCTTTGCCAAATAGTTTACATAAGCATTTAGCTGTCAATAACAGTTGAATGACAACATGTTCATGACATCTCCATTTCAATTAAATGATGAAATGACAACACAGTTTTTGTATGTAAAATGTACAAGAGGCAACACGTTATAACATTTAACATTAAGATAACACCTAACCATTTCATGGACATGACTCTAAATTGAATTCTATGTAATCTATCGCGGGCAAAGTGTGAAATCCGGGCATTCCACAGAAGGTCTAGGCAATGTGTAAAAAGCCGTATATATTTTCTACATTCGTCAGATATTCTATAGAATGCCTGGCTTACAAAAATCGCCTGCGAAACATCGACTTAAAATGAGCGGAGTTCTACAACAGGCCCGCACAACACATGGCGGCCCGCACAACACATGGCGGCCCGCACAACACATGGCGGCCCGCACAGCACATGGCGGCCCGCACAACACATGGCGGCCCGCACAACACACGGCGGCCCGCGAAGTAACGAAATACTCTGTAGTATTATTATTTTCTTAATAGCTTGCAACCCCCGCCACCCCCACCCCCACCCAAAAAAAAATATTTTTTTTACATTTTTTTTTAAAATCCTATTTTCTTTCGGCACGCACACGGTTTTCATAAAGTATTACGGCCCGCCTCACATTTTAAGTTGTGCAGGCCTGCCATACAATATGCGCGTTGAGTCCACACCAAGTCTCATGACAGTCACGACAGTCGTATGAGTAAGAACATGGCAAAACAGTCGTAGAAGTAGCTAGATTGACACAAAAGTCGTAGAAGATTAACTTGACACAATGGTCGTATAAGTAGCTAGAGTAACACGATAGACGTATATGTAGCTAACTTGACACAATAGTCGTATAAGAAATTATATTAATACAATAGACGTATACGTAGCTAACTTGACACAATAGTCGTATAAGAAATTATATTAATACAATAGACGTATACTTAGCTAACTTGACACAACAGTTGTATACGTAACTAGATTAACACAATAGACGTAGAAGTAACTAACTTGATACAATAGTCCTATAAGTAGCTAGATTAACACAATAGACGTATACGTCGCTAACTTACACAACAGTCCTATAAGTAGCTAGCTTGACACAATAGTCGTGTACGTAGCTAACTTGACACAATTGTCGTACAAGTAGCCAGCTTGACGTTTCTAACCAAAGTAAATATCACTTAAACCTCGTGAATCTACCTTTCAAATAATATCTAGCGTTTCATTTTTTTTGTAACGGACTATGTTTTCACATGTAAACAGAGAGGTAGCATGAGTGGACAGTGAGTGTGTTCACCAGGTTTTTCCACGGGGAGAGACAATCAATGTGGATTGTATTTTTGAGAACAAATGTGAACTATATGTTTTCACATGTAAACAGAGAGGTAGCATGAGTGGACAGTGAGTGTGTTCACCAGGTTTTTCCACGGGGAGAGACAATCAATGTGGATTGTATTTTTGAGAACAAATGTGAACTCCACGTTTTTGGAGAGTAAAATTATGTTTTTGTCAGAGCGGTTGTTTTGCACGCTTTGCTGGTAATGAAGTATGAGTTGACTGATATAGTAGAGAGCTGAGCGCAGAGCAGTAGAGTCAGTCAGTAGCGTGAGAGCTGTGTGATTAGACAGTTGAGCTGAGGACGTGTCTTTCTTAATGATGGAATACTATATATGTGAAATTACATTCATGCAAGGATTATTTATTAATATTATCAATATAAAGTGTGTTCAATAAAGTACTGTGAGTTTTAACTAGAATTGAGCATTCTTCTTTACGTGCCTGAATAATAAGTGAAAGAATGAAGAAGACTGAGTCGGCATCCTGAAGCGTTAATATAAGTAACCATACTACTGACATAACCCACAGCATAAGAAATAACATCCCACGCCATGTCAGAGTAGAAGTGTGTTACATTTTTATTGTGGCTTTTTTTTTTCTTTCTTTTTTTAAAGTTAATTTTCTTAGCGCGTCCTGGTTTCTTCGTCCTGACGTTTGCCACAAGTGACAGAGCTGAAGAGTTTGATAACAAAGTCTACTTTGCGGCCCAGATAATGAACGACACCAGCATTGGTTTCTTTAAGAGCAAAATCGTACACGGAGAAGGAATCATCGTAAGTATAGAAATTTTAAAAAATAAAACGTTTGTAAAAAGTTTTTTGATTTCACCTTTTATAAGTCTTTAAAAAAAAAAATCATTGCACCATATTTCCTTCATTTTCCCCTTGAAAAACATGAAAAACTGGAGTGAAAATTTAAAAGGATGTGTTGTCAAGTTTCAGCTCGATGGGATGACAGGAAGTGTGTGTGGGGGAGGGGGGAGGGGGGCTATAAGCCCTCCGCAGATTTTGCCGCCAGAAGAAACACACGAACAAAAACTAAGTTAATATAAAGCACTTGAAAACTTATGGATAAACTTCGTGACAAAAAATAAAATTGAGAGATTTAAAGTTTTAAAAAATGTGTTTTTCCAAACCGTCGATATGGTAATTATGTGTGTCAGGAACAATAAAGTATCTAGAAGTTGAGTAGAATGGAAAGCGCTATAGTTTAACAAATGTACAGCAGTTGATGGAATAAAATCGCAATCGGGAGATTTAAGCAATCAAATTTTTTTCTTCATTATTGTTTTCCAACTATTCCAATGTTTTCCAAAAATTCTAACGTTTTACAACTATTGTATTGTTTTCCAACAATTCTAACGTTTTACAACTATTGCATTGTTTTCCAACAATTCTAACGTTTTACAACTATTGTAATGTTTTCCAGCTTTTCTGATGTTTTCCAGGTATTCTCAAACTGTCAACTTAACAATAATAAAAAGGATTACGTATAATGATTTTAAATTGATCGAAGAAGACAGGAAAATAACATTTGATCTCGTATGAATTTCATATAATATTTTGTTCCATCCCGGGAACCGTTCACAGGTACAAGTACTTCTAAACACACACGTCCAGGCCGAGCTTGGCAGCGACTACTCTGTCCAAACCGGGCTCTACTACATCGCCTCTTTAGATCTCGATCCAAAGGCAGGTGGAGGGTTGTTCTTCATGTTTACACTGGTCTTCGCTGCAGTCCCAGCCGTGTTCATGCATCGAATTATTGCTGAACGAGTTGTAAGTCTTAGAGTACATACGAGTTTGGGGGGGGGGGGTCTTCCATTAATTACGTCAACAATTTTTACGTTATTTTTTACCCCCTTTCCCCCCCCCCCCCCCCCAACTGTCAAACTTTCGATGTCCCACTTATTTAATTATGTCAACATCTTATAACGCCCTCCCAATGAAGTATAATATAAACTTTTATAAACTTTATAAAAGTTTATAAATAACTTTTACTTTGTGCTGATTTATTTAAATGGCACATCAAATTGTAGGGAAAACATTTTATTACATCTTTAGCTTGTTCATCAACATGTTAAAAAGTTTTTACACTTACATTTATAATGCAGAATCGATTAAAAGGTTGTTAAAGACTAAATATCATTGTTAACGGAAGTATAAATATGATTATTGTCAGTATAGCTGACAATTACAGCATAGTTTCTAGCTGCTATTATCGTCCCATGGAGTAGCCAGCTGTTGCTGTATCGCAACAAATGGGCATTAGGGAGATCATTTGGGTAGGGCAGGGGGCATTTGCACCCACCCTGATTTGCTGGTTTTATTTAAATTGATATGTACTGTGGCGCCTCCAGTAATCAACTAAGTTTTGGGTTGCCCCGCGGTTTCCACGAAAAAAACCTGAAAGGACGCCCCTGATGGGCGTAGTCTGTAGTAGCTGATTATCATTTTCATCTTGCGAAACTGATATACCAGACAAGTCAACATCATCCTTATCTAACAATTCAGCACTTAAAAAAGAAGTATTGTCGGTGTAAGCAATAATTGCCATAAGCTTTCTCTGTCTTTGAGTTGGTGTGGTTGTTATAGGACACCGATGAGTTGGTGTTTTTCTAAAGTGAGCACCGTGTACAATGATGTGTTAATCATTCTAGGGAGCGGATTTAATAAATAAAAAAAGGGACATGTGAATACGGTGGCGTAGCTAGGGTGTCACCATATCAGGGGGGGGGGTGACACCCAATTGAAAAAAAATGCATATTTGCCGAGCACACACTGCTCGATCAAACCGATTTTCATAAAAGGATAACCGATCACATAGAAATGTTCCACACATGTAACCTATGCCAATGCGGGCTTTATTAAAAGTAATATGTTGATGCGTCAGAAATGAGGTGACCCTATCATTAGGTCAGAAAAACACCGTATAAAAATACTTTGTATCCATTTATAGGGTTCACCAGTGACGTAGCTGGGGGGGGGCGCGGACCACAATGGGTGACACCATCCCAGGGGGCAACGCCAAATTTTAAAAAAAATTGCATATTTACAGAGCACACACCACTCGGAATTTCATAAAAGGAGAACCGATCACACGTTCATTTTCCACACGTGTAACTAATCCCAATGATGTGTGAGAAATATCTTTTCGACCATTATTCAACACCGATTGAAGTTTTCGGTAACTTTCCTAAATGACAGGAAGCAATATTTATCTCAATTCTGAGAAATAAAACTTTCCACTGAAACCAAATGTGATATGGTCGGACGATCCTACGTTAATGAATCGAATCGGTAAAAATTAAAAACATTAAAAATGACTGTTTACCCATTAATTAGAGTCAACAAAATAATATTTTACCACATTTTCTAATAATTTTTTGTAATTAATTTAAATGAATTTAAATTTTAAAAAAAAATGTTTTTGAAACCAAATCTATCGAAACCCAGAAATATTCAAAAATAAATATTTTCTCCGATTCGTCCCTAGCACCGCCTCTTAAGACTAAAGCACGATCTTTTACACAGCACACGATCTTTTACACAGCACACGATCTTTTACACAGCACACGATCTTTTACACAGCACACGATCTTTTACACAGCACACGATCTTTTACACAGCACACGATCTTTTACATAGCACACGATCTTTTACACAGCACACGATCTTTTACACAGCACACGATCTTTCACATGCTGTGTATCTACTACCTTTACCTTTGGGGCTGGTCTACTTGATTCACACAGAAGTATCTGCAGACTAAAGGGTTTACTCTTGACAGAAAATGGTACCCAACATAAAGGCCTTAAGATTGAATCTGCACGAGAAGCGCTTTCACTCTGTGGAACATGCTATAGAAAATGTACTTTTAAGATCAGACCCATATGGAACTTCGGTAGGGAGAGCACACATGTGTAAGAAGAGATTGACAGGAAAACAATGAACGGATGCTGGACTTTTTCTAAGAGAAGAAAACAGTAGGGAGTGTATTGATCGTTTTCATTCTGTTGTTCACATATCGGGCATATGAAATTAGAGGCATGCATAGGGTATGGCGAAGATACGCCACTGCATGCAGATCATTCAACATTTAAAGCCGTAAGCTAGGTCAGGGTGCACCTCAAACAATGTCCATCCATAAAAGCCATTAATTAATGCAATTTACCTGTGTGGTTTTTTAAATACTTATTTGAATTCATCCGTCATGTATTCCTTGGACTTAATGTCAATTTCTTGAGGTTTTGACTTTGAAAATAGTAACGCATCGGTCATGTGTGTCGTTGTTTTTAAGTCAGGGGCCAAACACCTGCAGCTGCTGAGCGGCGTCAACCCGATGGCGTACTGGTTCGGGAACTTCTTCTTCGACCTCACCATCTTCCTCATCATCGACGTGTCGTCGCTGATCACCGTGGCGGTGATATACCCCGCCGTCTACATGTCGGAGGGCCGCTGGGTGGTGACGCTGACCACGGTGCTGCTCTACAGCCTCACCATCTTGCCGTACATATACTGCGTCCAGTGGATCTTCAAGAGCCCGTCGAACGGCGTCAGCTTCATCATCGTAATTAACATAACTCTGGGTAAGCATACTGATATGTTATCATGTCGAAGCTAAGACTAAGCAAGGGTTGGATAAGGTGCCCCCAACACCCCCCCCACAAACAAAAACAACAACATCTATATAAATAATTCACCAGAAACAAGGGCAAACAAGACCAAGACGAAGGCTTTATATAGAACCCTCCCTTCCCTTGCCGGCCAGCTCGCGGCGTATGCTAAGCTGTGAGTCGGCTACATTATTTATATAGTTCATGGGCGTGAAATAAAAAGTGTGCATTGACGTATCATAAAAAAAAAGAGGGGGGGGAGGTGTGGAGCATAATTGGCATTCTTAAATGTGCATAACGTGAGTTCACGTTTTTGTCAAGTAACTTTAGTAGATGGGAAGTTCACGCATTGCTGTCGCCAAAGTTTGGCGGGCTATATCCACCCTCGCTTGCCAGCCATGCGCACACCCCACCAAGCTCGCCCCGGGTCGCCTAGTTTACTTTAAAAACTGAACACGGGCCACCGTATCCAACTTAACACCACGCAAAGCACACATCTGGTACCTCATCCAATTTTTCATCAATTTATTAAATAATGAGTTATATGCCACCGATTTAAGAAACACTGAGTTATGAGACACTATCTTAAGAAATACTGATTTAGCCTGTTAAAACACTCAAAGCCGGTCTCATGTAACGCCCATTAAACACTCAAAGCACGTCTCATGTAACACCCATTAAACACTCAAAGCCCGTCTCATGTAACGCCCATTAAACACTCCAAGCCCGTCTCATGTAACGCCCATTAAACATTAAACCCGTCCATCCTCTTCATACAAAATTAAATCCAGACCTCCCGCCATAATTGACGTTTTTATTGGAGGCATAAACTTTTTTGTCGGTCGAGATGATTTCACTCAAAATCCTGCATACTTATTTGTGAGATTCATATATATATATATATACAAACTCTGTAAACAATGAAAATGACTTGTTCACGAGAATAATTATAGCAACGTAACATTTTACCTAGTTAATTTTGGATTCATGCCATTCAGCTTCAGCGATGCCCCCCACCCCCCCCCCCCAAATTGAGCTTAGGATAGATTTCTTATGATGCATTTTGAGAATGTCCTGCGTTTGTTTGATAACCATTTAATATTATGTATGACGTGTCTTAACATTTTACCTAGTTAATTTTGGATTCATGCCCTTCAGCTTCAGCGATGCCCCCCACCCCCCCCCCCCAAATTGAGCTTAGGATAGATTTCTTATGATGCATTTTGAGAATGTCCTGCGTTTGTTTGATAACCATTTAATATTATGTATGACGTGTCTTACTTTCGTTATTCCCCTGACAAAAGACAACACGTCTTAGCCAGTATATTAATCCATTGGTAAAACCTAGGTCTTATTTTTTAAATTTTTTTTTCATTTCAGGTTTTATAATTATGCCCTTAATGATAATACTCAAAGCATTCCTGAATGAAATTTATTACGCCGATTCAATAACTGCCATTCTCTTCCCCAACCTGGCCCTCTACGGCAACATTATGCAAATATTAACCTTATCATACAAAGGCGAAAAGACAGGTGAGACTTGTTCACGGCTAGATTCACTGGACCATAAAACACTGCTTGTACTCGGGGGACTGTGTAATCATCATTGCTCACTGTTTTCTTGTAAACGATGAATTATTCTATCCTTCACACCCCACCCCATTCCCCCC